GTGGGGTTAGTTGCAGTGTGTCCATTCCCAAACGCTGCTCTGAGAAGTCATTTTGATGCAGTTCTGCAGGCTGTCAATTCAGATGAGTCTCAAGGACCTGAAACCAAGATGGCAGCAGGTCTGACTCTTTCTAGGGCCTCTGGGAGAGGAGTCTAGTCCTCATCTTTTTCAGCTTCCAGAGGCCTCTTGCATTCCTGGGCTTCCGGCCTCTTCTTCCAATTTACTTCTATTGTCCTTGGCCTTCTGACTCTGACCCCTCTCCTTCCAGTCAGATCCACATGAAGAATCCAGGGTAATTTCCCCACATCAGGACACTCACCCTGACAAAACAAGCTAATAGCCACAGGTTCTGGGGATTAGAACAAAGGTATCTTCAGGGACATAATTCAATGTATGACAGAAGTATTTATTTTAAGGCTACTGCTATGCTTTTAGAGCCTTAGTGTGGGATTATAGCTACATTCTCAGGAAGAATCTAGAATCTTTTTGGTTCTTACATCTGCTCCTGTCATGGTGACTATATTCCTCTCTCTTGTTCTTGGCAGACTGATTGCCTCTGCAACTTAGCCAACTTGTAGGAGCATGACTGCCGACAACCCAAGGGTCTGGGCTGTACTTTTATTATCCAGATTGCCCCTTTGCACCATCTCTAGTCCCAATTTCCAAGAGAACTAATTGATACTTTTATTACTACTACTATCATTATTATCTTTTGATCTCATGATGTAACCCAAAGTGAACTTGATCAATCTTCCTGCCTCTTCTTCCCAAGTGCTTGGATCACAGGCATGCACCACCATGGCTGGTTGATCAGCACCCTTAGATGAATGAAGTATATCAACCCAAGAATGCTGCAACCTGAGGTAGAGCTTCACTCAGCTCACAGAGCTGTTCTCCATGGCACTAACGCTACTGGAAAGCAAATATTTGAGGCATAGGCCTTGGGCATGTACTCAAGCATAGTTCTTTACTGAGAAAGACTTAGCTCACCAGAAGTTGAGCGAGAGGGTGCTGTTTCAGATAAAGGGTAGTGACACCTGGTCAGTGTTTGTCAAATGGTAGGCATTCAAGGGACATTTATGAAATTGCGTTATGAAGCTTCCTTTCACTTCTTCCTGGGAGGGAGTCCTTCCACAGGTCACACTGTGCCTCCTCCTCTACTGACCTCACTGTCATGTGCCACATGCTCTGTCTAGAATTCTTCAGCCATTGTCTTCTTGTCACAGGAAGAAACTAGCCTGACACTGTTGTATGGAATGATGGATCTCCTTTTCTCTACCCAGGACAGAATAACAACACCATATCATAGAAATCTTGAAAGAATTGAGGGAATTGAAGGGGCCACTGTACTTAACAGTACCTCTTGGTGGTAAGTCCTCCACACAGAGCAGGGTGGCTTCCTATTGATCCCTAGGAATTGGTTTCATTTTATTCATGGTGGAGTCTTGTTTTACCTGTGACTCTAGCCTTGCGAATACCTGACCCTAATCTTGTCTTTGGTCTTATTTATTCCTTTAGGTTCTGCCAGGCTAGAGGGTTTGTTCTTTCCTCTTAAATCTGAAGACTTTCCAGTCCTGTTCTACAGTCTCAGAATAGGTTATGTAGTCCAATTTCCCACCTAAATGTGGGAAGCCATCCACACACTGTCTTCCCCGGGGCCATTAGCTTCTACTTGAGCGCTTTGAATGCTGATGAGCCATACTTAGGCTGCTTGTTCCCATTTTTTTTCAACAGCTCTAATTAAATAATGAAAACATGCAATTATCTTTTTAGTCATGACTGTCTTGCCTTTTTAATAAAAATTTCAGTTCTTTCACAGGAACAAAGTAACTGCTCAAAAGGCATTGATTATATTTATGCCTTAAATGATAATTTCCTGACATTAGTAGTTAAACCATTTCTCCCATTTTCTTCTAACTACACCATTTGTTGGAGGATGTGGCTTGCATTGGAAGCCTCATGATTATTGGATGATGCCTACAATGGACTTTAACACAAAGGCAATAAAGAAAATGTTCCCAACTGAGGTGGATGCTCCTTAGTATGCACCCAACTTTGCTTAGGCCACTTTCTGTTTCTCTCTCTCTCTCTCTCTCTCTCTCTCTCTCTCTCTCTCTCTCTCTCTCTCTCTCTCTCTCTCTCTCTCTCTCTCTCTCTCTCTCTCTCTCTCTGTGAGGCACTCTCTCTATGTAGCCCTGGCTCGACAGAACTATGTAGAGCAGGCTGGCCTCAAACTCACAGAGATCTACCCACCTTTGTTTCCTGAGTGCTAAGATTATAGGTGTGTGCCACCCAGCTTCAGGTCACTTTTGATTCCTCTTACACTTCTGAATTTTCAAAAGGAAAAAAAACTATATTATAAAACCTTTACTATGTCTTGAGGCATATCTGCAGTCTTTACACGACTTATATCCACATATTTATATCTGGTTGGGTGTTTACAGAAATGGGGATCTCCTCTGTATTGATTTGTGTGCGTGTGAATTTGGGGATGAACACAGAGCCTTGAACAGACTAGTCAAGGGCTCTGCCACTGAGCTATCACTACCATATATCCAGCATCTATTGTTGTTATTATTATCATCATTACTAGGGTGGGTTTATTTTATTATTCATTTATTTTTTAAGATTAGGCATCACTGTATGTCTCTGGCTGGCCAGGAACACTATGAAGACCCATTTTCCTTGAACTTAGAGTTCTTCTGTGAGTTCTGGGATAAAGTCATGTACTACCATGACTGGCATCATTTCTTAAGACAGTTGCCCAAGCTGGCCTCACATTTGTGGAACTCCTGCCTCAGCCTCCTAAGTTCTGGGATTACTAGTATGAGCCAATATACTGGAATGTATTTTTAGTTTCAAAACAGGGTCTTACTGTGTAGCTCCTTTAAATTTTTTTCTTATTTTTTTTGTGTATGGTATGTGTGAAAATGTGGGTTTTATGTGCCCTGGCATATGGGTGGAGGTCAGAGTCACACTTTCAGGGGTTGGGTCTCTCCTTCTGCCTGTATGTGGTTCTGACGATTGAACTGAGGTTGTCAAGCTTGTGTGGCAAGCCTACTGAGCCATCTCAATGTGCCTTGTATTGTCTTTCAAAAAGACAATATAATGATAATATATTTTCATGTGAAGACATAAAAATGTAAAAGTTTAATACCTTCATGTTTGGCATAACTATTTTATCATTTTTTATTTTGGTTAACCCATTGTTTTAGATTGATTCTACAATTCTGTTTTTTTTTTACCTTGAAAGACATGAAAAAGAGCAATGACTTATGCAAACCTGTGTACACATTCACTCACCATTATAATTTGAATATGTTCTTTCCCCAAATCCATATGTGAATGTCCTAGCCCTGAGTATTTCAGATATGACCTTATTAGGAAAAAAAGATCACTGTAGTTGGAATTAGTGAAGGTGCAGGGAGGTGGTGGGGCTAATATAGCAGGATTTGTACTCTTTTAAAAGGAGACATTTGGAGAGAAAATATGGGGAGAACATCATGTGACATAAAGGTCCAGCCCAGGGTGCTGATTTTGTAACTAAGAAATGCCAGTGAGTTTCAGAAAACAACACAAAGCAGGTAAGAGCATGGAGAAGAGTCTTTCTCAGGTCCTTTGAAGGGAGCAAACTTACTGACATCCTTACTTTGGACTCAAAATCTCCAGAAATCTGAGATGATGACTTTCTGTTAAGTTTCCAAGTTTATGCTACTTTGTTAAGAAAGTTCTAGAAAACTAATACATCTAACGTTTAAAAATGGGTGCTTAATATTTGAGACAGCATAATAGAGCAATATTCTGATTTCAAGTGATAGCCTTTCTAAGATAACTGAGTACCATTAGTCTCTATCTCAACAATATGTTGAAAGATTATGACTACCATACAGCCCACAGCTTCAAGGAAATGACTTGAGCTTTAACATAGTGATGAGTTGAGACATTTGGGTACAAGTAAACTAACCAGTGATTTAGGAAGGTAGAAAAATAATTACTAAAAATTCCAGTGATAAGGACTCAAAGACTTTTCTTATATGGTAGACCAGGTTTTCTGTCTTTCAATTAAGTGAGGTAACATGTACAAAAAGTAATGAGAATTATTTCTATAGAATTTATTCTTTTCACTTGCATCAGTATCTCATTAAATGAAGACACATGCTGGTCTATACTTGAGATTTTCCAGGGTACTTTATTGAAAGCTGTGTGTGTGTTATGGTAGCTACATGAGTTCAAGAGCATAAACAGTTGCTTTTACAGATTGATGTTGACCATTTCATTACAAAGGATTTGAGTAGGCAGGGCTCAGTCCAATGTAGCACTGCCTCCACCAGGAGAACATTTCTTCTCCTCAGTCATAAAGCATTCACTTCTCTAAATCCCTAGACTTGTTTTTTCATGCTTTATTCTTTGGGCAACTAAATGATAGTGATATGATCCCACTCTCAAGACAGTTGAATGTAAAGCCTCACAAGAACACACACATAGTTTGCTTATTCATATTGGTATCTTTTTGGGCACAAATTATTTTTCATAAAAGGAATAACTAGGCACATTAGTATACACTTGTAGTCTTAGCTAACTAGAAGGCTGAGGCAGGAGGATTGCTCAAGTCCAGGAGTTCTATGCCAGCTCATGTAACAAAGTGAGGCCCTGTTGAATGAATGAATGTGTGTATATTTTGTAATGTATTTTTCTATGCTTTTTTAAAAAGTAAAACATTTATAAAGGCAAATGCCTTAGATATGATATCTGTCAATTTGAAAATGTTTCAAATTGACACACACACACACACACACACACACACTCACATCGCATTAGCCTATAATATCCATTCTTTGCTGGTGACCACACCCCATAGTTGAACAGTCCGTAACTTCTATTTTTCCAGAATGAGTAATTCATGGAGCTCCGGGCAATGATTCCCTAGGAACCACCGGGGATTTTAGCATGAGAATGGTGGAAAGCAGATAGAGACACATAAATGCACAAGGAACTCTGAGTCATATTTTAAACTATTTGTATTTTTTTATTGAAAACATTTGTTACAGAAATTCCAGAAAGTTCTTTGCCTGTAGTATTTGCCAACTTCTGCTTCAAATTACATATCTAAACAGACAAGCTCAAAGTGCATTGTGAATTCAGTAACAGACTGTTAAAAAAGAACAATGCCTCTAGATTTATATATATTTATATATATTCATAGTATCAGTAGATATGCAAACCTCTTTGTATCATACATGAAAGAAGGAAAAGATGTATGTATATTTAGTAAACCCAATTTCAAAATCATTGTATTTATAGGAATTCATTTAAAAATGGTATCTGAATAATTTTCCCCATTATAAACTATGGTTAGAGCATTTACAAGTGACAGTCTAAGTGCTAGATTATGAAATGGCTATGAGTATAGTGCACTGACTACACGGACTGTCTTACACAGCGGTAGCAGCAATATAAACTCAGGGCAGATGCCCCAGTGACAGGAAGCAAGTCTTCACATGCTACAGCATCCTTTCTCAGCCTCCCTCACACTGATCCTGTGTTTGGATATAGTAAAACATGCTAATCAACACACATGAAAGTCATCCAGGAGTCACGCCAAATAGGGTGAGCTGCTTCTCCCAACTCGAAGTTCTCGCGTGTATTTGATGTGTTCCAAAATCATGAATCAGATCCTGCTTGACCCCACATTAGAGACCCCAAACATGGTCACCGAAATACTGCTGGCAGACACGTATGTGGCTAGCACAGGGGTTGAAAATCCCAATCTTTAGTCTTTCTGTGGGATGCATATGTTTTCATGCTCAACAAATTCTGCTGGCCTCGTCTTGCCTAGACCCATTCCTTTGCATTCTAGATCCGGGTCTTGGATTGAGTTTGTAACCCCTTTGTGGAGAGGCAGGCGACTGCGTGAAGATGTAGGATGCCTTTCAGGATTCAGACAGGCAGTTCAGAATCAGCTGTGACAGGTGCCACAGCAGCCATGCTAGGAACTTGGTTGGAGGGAGGAGGTAAAGTCAGCTGGAAGATCAGACCTGGGTCAAATTCAGAACATCTGGCTTTTTCCATGTAGTTGATGTTTGGGGTTACTGTTTTGGGGTCCAAAGGGATATGAGGTAATGGATGAGTCTGGTGGTCTCACACACATGGGGAGAAAAGGGGAGCTAATTTTAGACTAAGGGAAAAAAAAAGTAAAGGGATCAAAACGAAAAACGAAAAAAGCTGTGCCACCAGGCGCAAGGCTGATCTCACCCTGTCCCTCACATTCTTCAGCGATCTGCTGCCCTAGGTGCTGGAGTCATGACTAGTACTGATGCCCCTCAGAGTCTATGGACATCTGTACAGACGTCCAACCTTTCATGTTTCATGTGGGGGTCATGTGCTGCCAGCAGAAGGTGACCAGTTATTCCAGGAAAGGTACACACCTCTTTTGATTAATCTGGATGATCTGGTCACCCACTCCCCCTCGTAGATGATGCACGGAAATCAGCACATCTTGATTTTTACTAGGGGAAATCAGTGCAAAGAGGTCACGAGAGCAAAGGTGACACTTACACTCAGAAAAGAATTTGAAAAAGAAAAGAAAAAGTTGTTCTTCTTTTATCAGAGCCACCCTCTCTTTTATTGACTATAATCTGAGGGACAGGATGCTTGACTCATAGACACAAGAGACAACACAGGGCAGAGCTGGTGGAGAGAAAGGTTTCCAAGCTCATCTTGGAAGCATTTAGACTGTGCAAGTTGGATCCATCCCTTTCCAGACGTTGAATGGCTTATAACAATGCAACAGTGGCTTCTTTAAAGAATAAACTATTTGGAGTCACCTGTTGTTTCATCAAACAATCACCCCATTCCCACCTTTGGGCCCAGCTCACCCACAGGCTGTGAAAGCCACAGGACAAGAAGGGAGAGGTCTCATCCATTACCGCGGGACCATTCACTCATAGCCGTCTGTGCATTTCTGTCTTGCCACCATGGACCTTTGGTTTTCATCTCTGGTTTAGCAATTTGCACCCAGGAAGCCCTAAAGAATCCAAGATGTGTCTTTCATATATCACAGATGCCCCCACACTTAGACCTTGGGACTCCAGAGTGGTGCTGGCTTGCTTCTTTGGGTCCCCTAGCTATTGCAACTTGCGGTTGACACTTTATTTCATATTATTTGTTCAGAGCTTTACAAAATTGAAAAAAAGAAACCCTTGATTACTTGTTTTTTTTTCATTTTTGAAAACTGAAAGGAGCCCCAGTTTAAGAAGTCCAACAATCTGAGTGGGTCCCTAACTGGCTTCAGTGTTACAGCAGACAAGAGTAAAATGTAAGTGCATTAAAAAGAGTCAAAAGAAACTCATACAGCACAGCGTGCATTGTGCCGACACAAAATTAAAACTGGGTTCGGAGAGGGATTACTCAGTCAAGTCACATTATTACTGTAAAGATTAGTGAGGTGAATGCAATATCTAGGCCAAGTATACAGCCACCTAAACATAAGCATCGTTTTTATCTAGAACAGACAGCGTTACTGAATGAACATATTTATAAAATACTGTACACTGCTTCCACATGGGGTCAGCAGACATAAACAGCTAATTCAACTGGACTTTAAAATATTTAAGTTCTTTGTTAGATAGTGTTTTGCATAACATGCCAGCTTGTCCATCACAGAACCATACTCTACCTCTCACAGCTAGTGGGACCTGGTAGAAGATGCACACCAGCTTATACAAATATTTTACAGTAGTCTGAGGCATGGGAACAAAGTAATGAAGACCAGAACGAAAATGCCCATTACCGGAGCTGCTAAATAACATGGAAATGGGAGCGTAATTAATCCTTGCCATATGTGCTTCTTTATTGAATGTTACAGATTCATAAATGATTATAAAGCTGTCCTGTAGCGTTCATTAATACAACCACATGCTACAACTATGCTGGGTTAAACACAGGTTACAGATAGGTTTACATGTGTTTTATAATACAGCATTGCCGAACATGTCACATGGCATAGCCTATAGATATAGCATGATGGATAACTGGATAATATTATCTTTAAAGAAATCAAACAGCCCAAATATCCAGGAAGATTAGACTGTACAGCTGCAGAAAGGAGAAAGAAATGTGCTATCCAGTGATCTACCATAATGTTATCTATAGAAACCAGATTTTAAAGTACATTTGTAACATTCAGAAGAAACACATTTTGTGTTTTCACAAGTACACCCCCCTCCCATTTCATTATTCTGGTATATGTATATATATGTGTATGTATATATATTTTTTTTAAAGGGGAAACTTTCAAAGTGCTAAATAATAACTGGCCTGGAAGCTTCAACTTTAAAGAAACACCCAGTTCTATAAAGTGCCGCACTCTGACTGTCCTCCTTTTGGCTTGCAGAAACACAAACTGGCCATGACAATTATCCTCTTGCTTTCTAGCGCTCCATTCGAACCTATCAGTTTCTAATCGTAAATATAAAATATGGCCATTTTTATAAAAACATCCTTCATTTCTTTCCCCAAAGGAACAAGCAAGCAATTTAGGACAAATCATTACACATCGCAGCATATAAAAATTGGCACCTATGAAGCAGACGATTAAATAAGCTATCTCTTTCTTGAGTCCTCTATGACATTATTTATGTATGGTCCTCAATGATTGGCTGCTCATGAGCTGCGTAGTTCACAAAGTGGGGAATTAAGGTTTCCTCTGTCAGGGACATGGTAGAACAAATGAACACAAGCTGTCTGTACAAGGCCACAGAATCAATGCCACACTGGTGTGCAGAGACCCCAGAAATGAAAGAAGATGGGACTGAGAATAACACACACACATGTGCACAGGGAAGAGATGGCTTATGAGGCCTACACAGTTTGTGTCTGAAGTGTCTGAAGTCGTTTACATTTGGCTTAGAGATTTCGCACACTTCACCAAGGATGTTAGCACTTAATTTTCATGGAGAAAGAAAGCTCAGGACTGGACTGTTAAGTGTTTCCTTCCCCAGGTCACATTCTTTCTCTCAGGTGATCACAACAAACAGAAATACTCAGGCTTGTTCTTTCTTTCTCTCCCTTGCTTTGGATGAGGTCCCAAGCCAGGCCCCATGGTGCTTGGTACCCTGCTCTATGGTCTCAGATGATGACTTCATTTCCTTGGGCTCCTCTATGGATTCCCTCAGAGTCTTTACCTCTGAGGATGCTTCCTACTCAGTCATGAAAATGTTAGGGCGCAACGATATCCAGCTAACCATATCTACTCTAAGGAACAGAAGTGCTGAGACTTGGCCTTCCAGAAAATCACAGGGAAGTGGTCTACAGGTGTATGGTGCCTAGTCCAGCTTGACGGATGATGAACAAGGTCTCTATCCTCATCATCACTCACTGTGGAACCAGGGGAGTCATGAACCCCTTAAAGTCACCTTGTGCCTTAACATGGATGTAAATTTGGGGTGTGTGTGTGGTGGGGGGAAGTAGAGAGCTCAGAGTTTCTATGAGGTTTACAGGGATTCATGGTTCAAGGAAGCTTAGAGTCAAATGATTTACTTTTAGGTCCAACACATGGCTGCTGGGAGGGAGATCACCAATTAGGAAATGTCTCTAGTGCAGTTATCAGTGAAGAGGTTGGGCATTACCTAAATTCCAAGGATGAGAAAGGATTCTTCACATATGTGAGCTTGCCACTTTTTTTTCCATCTGAAAAGCTTGTTTCTTAAAAAAAATAAAGCATAGAGATTTTGTGAGGGATTGACTTATTTTGCCAAATGAGATACACCTTGGTGTTTCCAGCTACAGATAAAAGAACCAGGGGGCATCTGGGGTCAGGGGGGGCATGCAATCGTTTTCTGTTTTCTCTTTCCCTTTCTTCCTCCTCCTCCTCCTCCTGGGGATGGAACACAGGGCCTTGAGTATGCTAGATGAGTGCTGGGCCACTGAGTCCAATTTCTAGTTCAAAATGTTTTTCCTTTTACAATGTTTTCTTTTCTTTCTTTCCTTTTTTTGTGACAGGGTATCATGGCCTTGGATGTGGTATGTAGCAGAGGCTGACTCTGAATTCCTTCTCATCCTTCTGCCTCTTCTCTCCAAGTGTTGGGTCACAGGTGTACATCACCACTATGTCTGGCTCCAAATAATTTTTCTTAAAGACTTTATCTTAAAATGTTCAATGATCCAAATAGGAATCCAAAGTTTTGTGGTCAAAATTTCTTCATCCCACTTCAAATCTGGATTCTAATCTAGAAATTTATGCCTCCATTCTAGACTGTGTAATACAAACTGGCTTACAATCACACATCTATTCAGATTGTATTCTGTGGTAATAGCTTTGTGTCAGAGAAACCAGAGTGAAAGAGATGTCACGACATTAGATGTTTCCAAACAAGAGGAGGCAGAGGGCAGGGATGAGCCATTTTGACAGTTCTTGTTCAGTGTAAGGAATGATTAAAGAGACAGAGATTTTCTGGAAAGTATAATTTCAACAGTGGATCCAATAGCACAATGAACTTTTTTCCCCACCAAAACTCCTTGGATATTAAAAAATAATCTTGGTTATACCTCCAGATGACAGGGAGTCAAGGCCACTTAAGAAATCTCTGTGTCTATTACTCTATATAAACATGTGTCTGTGTATGTGGATGTATATATAGGCAGTATAAACTATAAAACTGTATATGGTATACTTGCTTTCTATTTTGGCTTACTGTATCTTTTATAGAGCTCTGTAAATAAGAAACTAGTCATGGTCTGCCTGCAGCTAATGATGGCTTTGGGTTGATGTCAAGCCCCTAGTCAAGTCTATGGTTTTTAAACTTCCTTAAAAAGTACTTTGGAGCTGGGTGGTGGTGGCATAAGCCTTTAAGCCCAGCACTAGGGAGGCAGAGGCAGAGGCAGGCAGATCTCTGTGAGTTCAAGGCCAGCCTGGTCTACAACGTAAGTTTCAGGACAGCCAGAACTGTTACACAGAGAAACCCTGTCTCAAGAACAAAGCAAAGCAAAACAGAAGCACTTTGGAACATTTCCGTAAAAAAGATACCAGCCCTTGAAAAACTCCGATTAAATTTATGCTGAGCCCAAGGTTAGATGGCTAAATTCTATGTATGAAAATATCCACAAATAACCATGTGTTCAAATACAAAATGGTCACGTGATGAGTGGTGTGGAAATTTGGCAGTTACATCTTGGAGGTGTTCGGAGGACATAGTGGAGACATGCACATGATGACAGCCACACAGCAGCGTCACACACGGTGAATGGTGAGACTCTAACAACATCCCACTTGGCAATTTAATGTTAGTTCTTCCCACCATTTTTTTTAAAGTTCATTATTACATATTTGATAGTGAATTCACTGATGACAGGTGAGATACAAAGTAACTTAAAAATATAAAATTATCTAATTACATTCATCCTGAGCTTGCTTGACTATATACTTGATTGCCCATGGTATATTATAAATCATATGACTTTTGCTTTCAACATTAATTCTTCTTTCATTTTGATTGCAAGACAAAAAGAAAAAATAAAAGGCATTTCTGTTCCCTTAGTTTCTTCTAAAGAGAAAAACAGTTGTGGCACCAGAAGTGAGTATATAAGAGACAGGTGAACTGTATATATGACTGTTACCTTGTTTTTCTTTATAATGACCAATTACAGAAGTGTTGGCATGAGAAGGATGTGGGACGTTAGGTAGAACTGCTTGCTGCCGGCTTACACTGAATAAAAAGGATGCTCTTCATCAGTCACCAGTGATGGAACCAATGTGAAAAGAAAACAGAATTGAAGTTTAGAATATCTCATCTCGTATGCTGGCTACTTTATCTCAGTTTGCAATTTAGCCCTGTCTCCTCACCTCTTGATAACAGGGCAGAAGTTCCCAAGATGCCTGCTGGCATGGAGAATGCTTGAGCCCATTTGTTCCCCAGAGCTCATGACCTACTGTGGTGCCTGGTGACACACTTTCATCTCTAACCCCTTTCTGTTCCCTCCCTTCCCAACAAGTGTGAACATGCCTTAAAACCCTACATTTGGCACTGGGCCAGATGGAAAGCTTGCTTGACCTGTGGCCCGAGGTTACCTTTGAGTTAACATCTCCCAAGGCATTGTTTTTGCTCAGCTAAGAGTAAAGCAGGTATAACTCAAGCATGGGGAACAAGGTAGACATGGGGAGAATTTTAGTGCTGGATTCTTGAGCCTCCTGCAACACATGGTGAAGGTTTAGTTGTGCTTGCTTTCAAAGCTGTGAAAAGCCGATGTTCTAGACAGTCTCCTCATGGACAGGCTATCCCCTCGGCCCTCCGGCTTGGAGGACTTACTTCTCTGGAAGGGATTTCGTAGGCTTGAGGTGTTCCTCTGTCTATCAAGCTTGTCACTGATGGAGAAGCTCTTCCTGGTATGTGCATATGGCCCGCTTGGCTCCTCTGCCGAGTAGCTGTTGGCGCGCTCTATCTTGGGAACTGTGATGTTGTTGGATAGGGTTCTGTCTGCATTTTCAGTCTCCTGAGAGGAGATTGGATTGGCAGCTCTCCGGCCTCTGGCCTCATTTTCCTCACTGTCAGAGCTAGGATGGCTCAGCTCTGCTTCTCGCTCTGGGTGGCAACAAGATAAGTCCTCTACTTTGTCTCCGAGACCTCCAGGGAAGGTGGCTCTGTCAGCAATTGCTTGAGGGGCATTGACACATCTTGTGTCGATACAGTCTGTAATACTTGTATATTCTGCTGTTTTCACCGGCACCCCAAAGTTGGCATAGTAACTCCTTGAAGGAGAAAACATAAAGCTATGGGATTTTACAATGGGGGCCTCTTCCAGAAGAAAAGGTGTGGTTGCTAGGTAGCGGCTACTCTTGGAACGCTCGATGGTTTGGTACATTGGAGGGTCTGTGTCCCAGGGATTTTGGCATTCTGGGAGGTGGGTATAGTCTGAAGAAAAAGATCTAGTGTCCATGGAGGTGAGGTCTTCAAAATCAATGCTCCTGCTTGGAGGTCGGTCTGTAGGTGCAAGGGTTGCATAGGCACTACTTGAAGGGGCTGTGGATGGTGCAAGAGCTGAAAAGCTTGGCTCGCCCAGCCCAAGGATGTTCATGGAATTATCCAGAGGATCTATATCACAGTGGAGCTCATCCATGGCAGAGACATAGATGTCTATGCATGATGATGGTCTTCTGGAGTCAGGAACAATGGCCAACGTATTTGCAGGGGCTGCAGGAGCTTTGGGTTCTTTTGCTACTGAGTGGGAGCTAGTAGCTCGGTGTAAGCTCAGGGACCTTTCTTTGAAAATGCTTTCCAATTTTTCTATACCACCTTTGTCTTTCACATTGACTGAATAGAAAGAATGACTTCGCATACGGGGCATTAAGGTTGGAGAAGTTGGGGACATGGTCTCCTCACCTGCAGGGTCTATACTCTCTTGCAGTTTGAAGGTGTTCCCCTCCTGGCTGTTGAAGCTGCTCTGGCGGACGATGTAGGCTGCATCTGTGCAGTCTGAGGAGGTCCTTGAGCGGATCTTGTTGGATTCTGCCCGCTCCAGACCCGTTAGGCGCTCCAGGGCTGTGGCCATGCGCCCGATTAGGTCCTCCAGCTGTGCCAGCCGGATGTCCACAGTCTGGAGTGAAGCCTTCATAGAGTGTTCTCTCTCATTAACTTCCTCCAGCCTCATGGACATGTTCTCCACCCTGTGCCGAGAAGCAGAGAATAAGAGTCACTTGGGTCAGGGTCCTCTGCTGGGAGAGTTAGAGGATAAAGCTAGAAGATGGCAAAGCTATGCTCTTCTCCAAGAGGAAATCAGCAAGGGTTTTGGGTAAAGGGAGGGGCTGAAGGGGAAAGAGTGACATTCCTGCTGTCACCAAGAATCACCAGGTCTGAATACTTTTGTGCTGGGGGACGTTTTGGAAATGAACTCATCCAGTGGTTTTCTTTATTTTTAGTAGTAATTTTGAAAAGGTGTCTCTCTGTGTTGTGCAGACTGGAATTATCTCCCAATGATACTCCCACTTCAGCCTCCTGAACAGCTGGGACAGCAGGCAAGCTCCTCTATGCCTGCCATGATTCAGGTTTTTAGCTTCCGGTTCAGCATACCCTAGGTGCTGCTACCGAGAAGTATTTAATTCTAGAAGAGTAATAAAGGACAGAATAGTTACTTTACTGCTGTCCTTTGTAGAGCCCAGTGGATAGGGGCTCTGAAGGGGATAATGGTACTGTTTTTGCATAACTACACGTGATCACTGGCCTAAGGGCTGAGAAATGTCTGTGTACTATAGCCTGGATGGTCGGGCCTCTTTGTCTACTGCCCTTCAGGCTTAGGGTCCTATATCACAGAGAAAAGGAGCAAGTGAAAGTCAGAAGCATTGAGGCCTAAGGAGGGAGGTCTGCTAGACCCAGACCAGGAATCCAGGGGGAATGAAAAGAAGCTGGGTACAGGGGGAAGACTCTTCAGATGCACTAGGAAGGTTCTGATGGAGCCCTAAAAACAAAGCAAAGCATCACAGAATAGGAAAACAGATCTAGAGCTGGAAACCAGCTGCAAAGGGGCTGAATACTCTCTCCCAGATGTACATACGTATAGTGTCTCTCTATATAGACCTAGCTGTATTGGGACTTGCTGTATAGATCAGGCTGACTTTGAACTCATAAAGATCTACCTGCTTCTGCCTACTAAGTGCTGGGCTTAAAGGCATGACACCCTTCACCTGGCTTAAGAACTATTTTTAACCAATTCTTAGCACTTCTCTGCACTCCTATGTAGTTGGTATGTTAAGTCTTGTAGAAAACAGGGAGAGTCAGTGTTAATCCATCCATCATTCTGGGTGTGATTAACCATCTAGCCAAACAATAGCATGAATCTAACTACAAGGAGCTTGGAGTCAAATTTACTTTATGTTTATTCTGTAACAAGACAGCTTCCTTTAAACTTATTCTTTTTTTCTAGCAAAGTTTGGGACCAGTGAGATAGCTCAGCAGGTAAAGTGATGATCCGAGTTTGATCCCTGGATGTACATGATGGAAGGAAGAAGCTACTCCTGCAAGTTGTCCTCTGACATCCACATACTCACGTACACACAGAGCCCACCAAGAATTTTCAGTCATGACTGCAGCCAGCCAGTGCTGATTATGGTCAAATAGCTTAAGCAACAGAATGCAGACACAGGTGATAAGAACTTATAAATCAATAGGAATCCCCAAGAGATAGACACAGACAATGACTAAGAAAGAAGGTCATTGTGAAAATCACAATGCTATATGGAAAGAAACCTGTCTTTAGCCTTCCTTCTGTCCCTCACATCTCCAGATGGTTCATTTCAGATTAGCTCAGAAGGTGATGACAACAGGGTACAGAGAAGATGAGAGGTGGCACATGCCCTTGAAAAGGGAATAAGATCTTAGTCCTTCTGATTTCAAATCCCTGCACTCAGATGTATAACACAAAGGCACAGTTACATAGTATTCTCTCTGTTATAGGACTGTGCACAATCAGTAGTGAAATGTAACCATAAGTGTTCCTACGGATGTATCTACACACAGACACACATGTGTGCAGATCTCTTTTCCCAGCTGCCTTTGTCTCTGTTAAGAGGCTGTGGACAAGGCTGGTGATGTGAGCTGCCACTCACTCAGAACAGTCATATCCTGGAGGATATGGAGGCAGCCAATATGGATGCCCTGATCTCTTGGTGGGTTTCCAATGCACCGAGGCACTTCTGTTGTGCTTACATACCATTCAATTGTTGGAGTGCTAGCTTTTGGTTTTCTTAGAAATGCAAAGAACCCAAACAATAGCCACAGTAAAACTCCAAAACCAAACAGAAGTCAAAGAAACAGAATGAGGTCAGAGCTTGTGGCCCTGGGCTTGCTCAGGAGGTCATACTGGTTCTTGAGGCCTGGTCTTCTTATTGCCCCTGAACCAGGAGGGCAGGTTTCTACTTCATTTTGCATTCCTGGTACTTCTCACCTCACTCACACTCTGAGAAGCCACCTTGGCAGGTCAGGGTAAGGAGCAGTCCTGCAGGATTTGCTGACATGGAGAGACTCTGGTTCCTTCCTGGGTTTCCCAAAAGGAGATGTTGATATGGTCACAGTATATTCATGTGTGCTGGTATCTGGGCCTCTTCACCCTAGTTCCTCAGAGAGGCAAAGCCTTCCTGTCATCTTAATATGCCTTTCCCGCCCTGCCTTTCTTGCCTCCTAGGCCTACAGTTTTTCTGAATTAAAAAAGCATTTCAAAGGCCCGAAGACATATGCTAAGGAAATGTGTCTCAGTTATGGTAATATTCCCACATGGCACAATTTTCTGGAAGCACACGACTGTATGTCCATTCATAAACAGCTTTCCAAGGCCTCAGAATGAGAGAGAGCTTCAGAATTTCAGTTCCTTCCTCTGTTTGCCAGAGAACTACTTTACAGCATATCATAAATCTCTCTTATTTTCTAGTGGCAGATGTGTGTAAAATCTGTGCACAGCTTTAATTCTTATTAATGTTGGCTTGGTACCTATGGATACAATCACTTGTTGGCATATGTGATTATACCTATGTATATAGTCTGCATTCTTTAAAGAAAGAGCAAGGGACCAAAAAATTGCAATTTATGTGATTTCTACACAGTTAATAAAGAAACTTTGATGTGGGCACACAAAGTGTTATTTCATGAAGGTTAGGAATGAGTCTCTTTAAATCTTTGAAGTCTCATGCACACTGACAGCAGGTACCAGTCTGTGATATCTCTATTTACCATTTGCTCTTTATAGTATAAACAGTTAAAGTGCAGTTACACTAGTTCTTTGTGACACTCTCTGAGTGTTCTTTTGGAAGCTAGTACCAAATGCTGGGTTATGAATGTACCATCTTAGAATGATGGTTTTATTAGTCTATAGTAACATAAGAGACACAAGAAAATGTAAGGGCAGTTGCCTAGATTTAGAAGTGTTCGATATCAAACATTTCTGTTGTGTATGAGAGAGAGAGAGAGAGTGTGTGTGTGTGTGTATGTTGTACATTATTTTTTTGTGGTGGGCAGGGTCTCTCTGTGAACCTGAACCTTGCATTTTTTTAAGTTAAGCAAGCCCCAGTGACAGCACCATGGCCACTGGTGCGCATGAGGCCATGCCTGTCTTGTGATGTGGGTGCTGCCGCCTGAGCCCAGGTACTCGTGTTTGTGCAGGAGAGTTTTCATACAGATCTCTTGGCTCTCAAAGCCACCTGGTAAGGAATAAATGAACCTGGATAGAAAATTTTGTACTAATTTCTTTGTTTTTAATCTTGTTATATAAAAAGAAAAACAACAAAAACAGTTCTTGGAAAAATACCAATCATTATCCTTACTGATTGACAGAACTCTTGCTCTTGCTTATCTAGAAGGTATGGAACACCACATAAACCAAGCATGGGGCTTTTTTCTTCTGGGTAAGAATACTCGATAGTCTATAGTATGAAACATAAACCTGTTAAAGAGACTGTGTTGGGGCTGGGCTTTCTTTGCTTTATTCTGGGACAGAACTTTCCAGTTTCTGGTCCAAGCCATATCTGTTCTAGACTCACCAATACGCGTGCCCAGGTAGGAGGCTTTCACTGTCTCCTGGAAAAGCCTAAGATCTTTAAGTCTGGGACTTCGATCTGTGGACTGATCAGGCAATGACCTGTTCTTTCAGAAGGTCTGTGTTTTCTTGGGCAGTAAAAATACAGCTAAGAGGCCTGTGTTTTGGAGATGTGACAACTAATTCATATGGTAACATGGACAGTGATAGGAAGCATCTGTGTGAGGCAGGGACAGGGAACACACCTTTCTGATGTCACTCGTATCCTCTCATCATTGGATGAGTTGAAGCGATCATCCTTCTCTCTGAAATACTCCTCTATGCACTGCTCTTCAAAATCGTGTACTTTCTTGAGCTCATCATCCGTTATGAAGAGTTCTGAGAGGGAGAAAAAAGGAACTGTGAGACAGAGCAGGGACCGCAAAGACATCTGGTCTGTGGCCTAATGACAGTTTTAAAGAAATCCAGGCTGGGGAAAGTCTACCAGATTCTATTGTGAGTTCCAGACAGAATCCAAATCTAATTAGGCCTCTTGAAACACTAGCTCCTTCCTGAGCTGCAGTTGTTGTGGTTTCTGGAGCCCACCTGGGTATACCTGGGCACCACAGGAGCTGGGCTTAATTAAGGAAGTGACAGGATCGAGAGCATGAGGAAAACAAGGGAAAGAAATCAACTGGGAGCATGATATTTCTTAAAGGCTCCGAATTTTCTGGGCTGTGCAGTGTGACATGCCAACATGATTGATTAATAATCTTTGTGCAGCCCAATTCTCTCTGTCTTTTTTTCCTACTACAGAGGCAGGAAAGCCAAATAGACACATTTCTAGTCACTGTTGAAATTATTTGCAACCACAAGACTCAGTTTAGAAGAACAAGAAACAAAAGAAGTCTACTGCGAGGAAGGATGGTGTGTCAGGAAGAGATTTTGCCAGTGACTTAAAAAAAAAAGACATGGTTGCTCTTTCTAAACTTTTTTCAGCTTCCTTTCTTTCTCCTGACTTCAATATAAACATTTGATGATGAGGGGACCCAGCAACTATTCTGTGATCACACAAAAAGAAAAGCTGAGCTGAAAACTAGAAGGAGTTTGGGTCTTTGACCTCAGTGAGCCATGGCTGAGTTTTGAATCATCTCCTCACTCTCTGTTATGTAAGAAAAAGAAGCCTTCTTTATTTGTGCTAATGTTAATCCAGGTTTCTAATAGAAGGTAAATGTCTCCATCAATGCTACAGCAACAGAAGAAGAACTGTGAACATTTAAATAGTTTTTGGAACAGGGTTAGGGCAAGAGAGTTGTTGGGGATATTCCTCAAATCAGGAAGCCTTTCTCATCCTGGCTCCCTGAGGTGCTGCAGGAATTGGCTCAAACATTAGGAGGGCTGAATCTCAGCTCTGTGGGCCTTTGTGGCCCTAGATCTCTTTTGCTTGTCTAGAAACTTCAGTAGGAACTTGCCAGGGGCTGTAAAACATGGCTGGAAAGGCCTCTGGGACTATAGAAAATACCAGAAGTCAGACTGCATTTCTTAAATATGGCAGGCTCCTAAGGTGAGGGACAGCTGTGCCACATAGGGGCACCTGAGATGTGGTCATGCAACTACGTAGGGTCATGAACATCAGGGTCAAGACGGAGAGAGGCCATGTATAGATTCCCTCACTGATCCCAAAGACCCATGATGCCCTCTGCTAGGGATGTTTCTAAGATCCAAAGGTGTAGACCCAGTACTTACTTGGCACCTTAAAAGTGCCTTGTTTGACTTCTTGACTCTCTCTATCTGTGGCTTGAGTTTTTTTTCCCCAAGATAATACTTTTATTGATTATTTGGGAATTTCACTTCATGCACCTCAATCACAATCACTTCACAGTCTTCCCAGCTCTATCCCCTCATCTTTGTGACCTGCTTTGTCCCCCCCCTCCAGAAAAGAAGAGAAATATACCCAGTCCAATTTGTGGCAGTAAGTGTAGCATGAGTTCTAATACGTCTTAATAATAAAAACCCAGAGTCAGATATCGGGGTATACACGGAAAGATCAGAGATGTAAAGGAGCCAGCCACTAGAAAGAATTCTTACCTCTACTGAATCCTCAAACCAAATGGATGATCCTGTCTCTAGAAATCCTCAGACTGGCTATTCAATGAGCTCCTATCTCTTCTTGCCTTATATTCCTCTCTCTGCCCAGCCGTATCTCTCCTGTCTCTACCTCCCTACTGCTGGGATTAAAGGCATGTGATCCCAAGTGCTGGGATCAAAGGTGTGAGCTCTGTTTCTTTTTTAGACTGGATCAAACTCGTGTAGTACAGGGTGACCTTGAACTCACAGAAATCCACCTGCTTCTGCCTCCCAAGTGCTGGGGTTAAAGGTATGTACCACCACTGCCTGGCCTCTATGACTAACGAGTGGCAAGCTTTATTTGTTGAAACACAAACAAAATCTCTCTCTCTCTCTCTCTCTCTCTCTCTCTCTCTCTCTCTCTCTCTCTCTCTCTCTCTCTCTCTCTCTCTGTGTGTGTGTGTGTGTGTATGTGTATGTGTATGTGTGTATGTGTGTATGTGTGTGCAGGCACCGCTGCTGTGTCTGGGCCTGGCATTTATGCTCATGCTCTTGATCCAGATTCAGGGTCTCACGCATGTATAAAAAGCACTTTACTGACTGAGCCAAACCCCAAGCCCTATGCTGCTCTTTTTAAAAAAAATAAAACATTCTTTAAAAAACCCTATTACCATGTCAGATTTTACCCTATAACTCTAAGTTTACTCTTTCCGAGGCTCAGCAAGAACTTGGCAGTGTATTGGGATCTTTTAATGACAGCTACAGACTGATGGGGGAATTTCTTTCCTCCCTGATGGGTAGACACATGTAGGGCCTGCCTCTCTGCTCTTCACTCTTTTCATCCTGCCACATTTTCAAGATCTTCCTTCTGGGAAGGAAGTCTCTGAGAAGTCTGTCACCTGCTCCTCCCTGCCACATGTCCAGAGACCTAGTGATACATCCTATGCTACTCTGGCTCAAAATAAGAAAGCCATGTATATGGGTGGGGGTGGGGGTGCCTGCCTTTAATCCCGGTGACTTACTACCAGTATGGTGACAGCCTGATTTATATAGTGAGTTACAAGGTAGTCAGGGCTATACTGTGAGACAGCGTCTCAAAACATAAAACAAAACACAAAACCAAATCACATATATTCTAGAGTTTGGTGGAGCTTCTCAGTGTCCTTGGACCTATGGCAGGTGCTCTGAAGTGGAAATGGGTCTCTGGACTGCCCTAGCTGTGGTTTGTACAAGAAATATCCCCCTCAGACTCATGTGCATAGTCTTTAGAGGGTCGTAATGTTTTAGGGTATGTGATGTCTGTTGGGGTGATTGAGGATATATCTTTAAGATTCATATCCTGGCCAGGGTGCCTATTTAGTTTTTTCTGCTTTCTGATCTCCAAAAGTATGAGGAACTGCATGTCCCTCATACTGTTGCAGCTATGGAGACACATCACCACCATGCCTTCCTTATCATAATAAACTACGTCTCTCTAAACTGTGAAATGTATCTCTCCTTTTAGCTTCTTTTGCTAGGTATTTGGTCACAATGATGATAAAAATAACTCACACAGGCCTCTGTCATGTACTATAGTTCCAGTCATCTTGTGCTCAATAGCTAAGCAAAGTTTTCTACTGCAAATGCTCATGCTTTATTGAAGTTGACTTGGAGCTCTGAGTTGACCCCTAGTGCAATATTCTCTATTATTATTAATAAATTAATTTTTTACACCCTGACTGAAGTTTCTCTTCCCTCCTCTCCTCTCATCCCCTCCTCCCATAGTCCTCCCCTCCAGTGCAATATTCTTACAGCATTCCTTGCCTAGGATTTGACCACGCTGGTGTGATTTGAGTACAAAATATCAGGGTACCTAGCTTGCTTTTTGCCTAAACTTGTATTTGAGAAGGGAGTGGTGATGGAATTGTCAGGTATTTCCAATGGTCTGATTTGACTGTCTAGAAAGAAGATAGACATTGCTTTGTTAGGGAGATCACTAAGAGCTTTAGGCTTAGAGAAGCAGTTGACTAACGGACTCTGGTTTTAAGCCATGGGTATATTGGTATCTCAGGGATGGAGGTAGACTCCTGGATCATTATCCCAGAGGCTTCTGCCTGTAGATTTTGCATAACATTTGGAAAAAGTACAGTAGATTGTCTATAATTCATTGCATTTCCAGTGGCTCCTGAGACTTGGTGCCCAGGGGGCATTTAGGAGCCTGTTGGAGCACCAGTACTTAATGTGCAGGAGTGGATATGTTAAGTCTTCTGCAATGTGTCATACATTCTTACACAGCGAGGAACTCTTCCAGCCCAGTGCCATCCAAACTTCCCTTCAGAAACACCAGTCTAGAAGGAGGGTGGTGAGTGGTGGATAGTAGATGGTGGAGAGGCTGTTGTTCTCTCCTTTGAAAACATGGCCCATTCTCCACAAAATCATACCGGTTTAATGCTGAAGGCTTGGAAAACATTTACGATCTGGATAGCCCCAGAAATGAGCATGGAAGAATAAAACTCAGGTCTCACTGTTTAGAAGCGATACCTAATATAGCACTTGGTACATAGAAATGTCTGGTTTGTGGTGGGATCCTTGGAAAGTAAGAAGTGTATGAAGGTGGCAAACTAGCTCTATTGCAGAGTGTTTTTCACTCTTACTAAGAAGTGGCTAAGAATTTTGCCTTCATCTCATGTTGTGCTGTCGTCCCTCTATCATGTATCTCATTAAGCAGGTCCCTTTCCCATTCCCTAAATATGCAGGAGGCAGGAGAACCATGAGTCCCCCCCCCCCCCGACTGCCTGTGGGAGTTGCTGGGAACTCCCGCTGCGGGTGCCAGCTTGCTGCTCACTCAGGCCGTAGTCTCTTTCATCTGGGTCACTCTCATGCTTCCTCCACCGGCAACACACATGTTGGAATATCATGGTCATGTGGCTGAAGATGATGAGTGGTGGGGGCAGAACTGGCCTCTCGTGGAAAGTCATGATGAGTTGGTACCTCTGAAATTTCCATACTTGGTTGGATATGGACTTTACCTCAAAAAATGTATTGCTGAAACAGACCAGAGAGTCACAATGACCAAAAATAATCATTACTTTTTGAAATATCGGCTCCCTCTACCCATGCTGCCCATCCATCCACCTGCATGACTGAAGAAGGGGCCACTCACTTGAAGACAGCAATAAGGAGGTTGACCAGAAGGATGTTCGCCACCAAGAGGTAGCAGGCCATGATGGCTGGTACAATCCATGCTCCTGTCTTGCATGGGGGCAGCTGGATTGTCTTGCCATCTTCTCGGGTCTCATTCTGTCCACAGGGAGCTAGAGGAAGTGACACAGTTAAAAAAAATGAGAAACTATGGAAATGTAATTTAAACGAGAGAGAGATTTTTAAATGAGGGGTTTGAATGAAAGAAAAATACAGCCACCTCAAACAGCAAAAGGTTTCAAAAAAGCCAAAATAGGAAAATGAGAGCTTCATGAATATTCAAAGGGCCACCACTCTTGAGGAGAGGCGGTTCCACCTGTGTCCCCAATCTGTCATCAGACTGTAAGAGGTATCTAGAGCCACCTGCCTGGTTCTTTAGTCCCTTGGCCCCTGGCAGTGGTTAGGGGGGCATTTGGAATTCCTAAAATGGTTGGCTTTTGGAGCAGTGAGGGCCAGAGTCCTACCTCCTGGCAAGTTACTTTCAAAATGTGCTGTAGAGGCCTCCAGCGGACAGCTTGGAGCCAAGCATGGCAGGCTATTGATTGGAAATTAACACGAGGGCAACTGTTAATTGCTGTGAGAAACAATCCACGGCCTCAGCCAACGATTTGCTGTCTCAGTACAGAAGGAACAGTACAGGGCAGCACCTGGGAAGCACCTAGAGAGCTTGTCACTTGGTGCCCCTGATGGATGGAGGACGATAATAGGGAATGGGTGACAGGGAGGGACCACAGAACCTAGAGCTACTTGTCTTTAAAAAAAACAAACCAACCACTTTTCATTCCAAGTATGTGCATTTCAGGGACAAGACATAAAACCTAACTATAGCAGTAACTAAACAGCGAAGGCAGAGGTGTCCAGGGGGATGTGGAGATGGGGATGAGGAGGAGGGCGATGTGTGGGATTGGGTGAGCAGAAGCAATGCACTAACAAGGTCAGCTTGGAGTTTCCCGGTAAGCCAGGTGGGGGTGGAGTGGGTGGGGTGGTTCCCCAATAAGGCTTTATAGCTCTGCACGCTGTGGCTCATAGAGCCTGTCTTTGTTACTGCTTTGTTTGTTGCTGTGAAGAGACACAGTGACCAAGGCACCTTAGAAAAGAAAGCATTTAGGGACGGGGCCTGCTTACAGTTTCAGAGGGTTAGTCCATGGCCATCATGGTGGGGAGCATGCCAACAGACAGGCAGCCATAGCCTCCAGCAGTAGCTAAGAGCTCATATCTGATTCACAGACAGAGGCAGAGAGAGAGAGAGAGAGAGAGAGAGAGAGAGAGAGAGAGAGAGAGAGAGAGAGAGAGAGAGAGAGAGAGAGAGAGAGAGAGAGAGAGAGACTGGGCCTGGTGTGGGCCTTTGAAACCTCAAAGCCCATCCCCAGTGACACAGTTCCTCCCACAAGGCCACACTTCCTCCAACAGGGCCATACCTCCTAATCCTTTCTCAACAGTCTATTAGCAGGGAACCAAACATTCAAACATATGAGCCTATGGGGACCATTCTTGTTCAAACCACCACAGAGCCAGACTTGCTCGTAGGGACTAAGGGTAGGTAGGTAGCCCTTCCTGTCCAGCTGCTTTACCTTGGCCTTTGAAGAGGGCAACCTTATGCCTGTTAGCAGTAGGTAAGAGCACCCCAGAAGGCCTTAGCAGCTCCTTAGGCTTCTGCCTAGGATGTGGAAGGAGGGTTGGCATGGGGGATCTACAAGGCTTGAGCAGTACAGCAAGGGGGCCCATTCTTCTCCACAACTCCTTCTGCCAGGCTCTGAATACCCAGGGGTCACCTGGCAGTTTGAAACACTACTAACATCCAGCTCTTAGCCAGAATTGAAGCAGAAGCCCCCTGGGGTCATAGGTATGCCATTTCTTCTTAATCTTTCTTGTCATTTGCTACAGAGGTTGAGTAACTGAGTTTTTAGTTAGGCTGGAAAAGTCACATGATTTTTTTAAAAATTAAAACACACCTTTGCAGCTGGAAAGGCTTTTATTAGCTAACCAGGCCACCAAGATGCTGGCTTTATGACCAGGATAAGATGGCCAAAGCACTCCCTTTGGCTCTATATGCCAGATAATTGGATGTGGGAGTAGGCGTTTTGTAGAAGGCAGAATCTTGTTACTGACATCTGTAGTACTGACCACCTAAGACAGTCCAATAAAAGGGTCTTGGAAGGAAATTCACTGACAGGTGATGTTCAAAGTCTGCAGGAGGCTCTCCAGGTCTATTTCTTCTCATTTCTCCTTATGGACGCTATTGTGCCCAAATTATGAACCCCCAAATCACCAAGAGGTCCATTTCGATGCAAAAGCAAAGAGTCTTTTATTATAGTTGTTTAACGAGCCAATCCCTTAGTTCAGGCTTTTCATCCATCTAATGCAGTGGATTATTAGAGAAAAGACCCCGAGAAACCACAAGGCAGGGATCTTATAGGGCAGTGTAAGGGGAGAGTCTAGGGGTATGCAACAGTCTCAGGATTGGTGTGCTTGGATGACCTGCCCTGTGTCGATTGGTCAACTGGTTGTTACGCGGTTGCTATGCTCTGTACATCACTGTTGTGCACTTGTCTGTAAAGCACACCCAGAGCCTTAAAGCACAGGCCTGCCAGCTAACTTCTGATTGGTTCCTTGCCATGAGGAGCGCGTCGACCTCCTAGTGACCAGGACAGGAGCCACAAGGTCATTTGAGCACATGTTAGCCTGTCATGGCTACTACTAAAACGGGGTTGGAGGGGGGAGAGGGAGGCTGGCTCCTTCAGGCACAACCTAGATCAAGTTTCTTGTAGTTCCTAGAATCTAGTCTCTCTCTGACTTCCTGATTTTGAGTCACATTGTTTCTGTTGCTTCCATAAGACCCGTTGACAACTTGGCCCTACTCCCAAGCTTCACCTAGGGTGTATCTCTTCCTTTAGTGTGTGCCTAACCTCCCACTTTCTACCCCTGTAGCCAGGATTGGGCTGGCCATATCCTCAAGCTCCTAACACTCCTGCTATTTATTTGTCTTAGGGCTCTCACATTGCTGCCACTGCCCAATTACTCGTCTGTCCCATACATGAGATTCCCATTGGGGCATTGCTCTTCCCTCAGCAATTCACATAGCATGTTCATAAGCATCCTGGGATAGTCAGTGTTTGTTGACTGAGTAAAGAAACCTCTGCAGTATCTGTGCATAAACTGCTGTAGTCCTACTAGGTTGGTTCAGTCTGGCAGTATACATGTCAGAGCCAGTCTGAGGAATTAGATTCTACATTCTACAGCAAGAAGTGCAGCATGAATGAGTTAGATATTCCTTGTGACAGTGATAATGATAATAAAAGTGAATCGTTAAGAGGCAGACTTTATTTGGTAATATCAGCAAAGAAGCTGTAAGCGTGACAGGCAGCAGTTAGTGCAAAGCATTGCTCCATGGGGGCCTCTAATGACACCCTTGTTCTGGGTCTTTGTTGGCACTAGAAAGTGCAATAACTCAAATGCACAGATGTCCACCACTAATGGAGATGAACAGGGTGCCTTCCAGACCTGACAAGCAGCAGTTATTAGGAAAGATGGTAAGTTACTTCGGTGGTCCTATGATACCAGAAAGTTGCTGGGGATGCCCCTCAAGCATATGCACCAAGACTGCACATGGATGGAAGTTTGGGGTATACAGGCTGGCTTCTATCACTGTGTTTCCCTGTTTCTTCCTTTTGTCACTTTGCACTTGGGTCCTTTTTCTCCCAATCCTTTGACAAACACAGATTAGTCACTATGAGCTATCAAGTAGCATGTGGGCATCTCCTTCTTGTCAATGACAATCAGTAGAGTCCCCGCAGTAGATGTTTGTAGATTCCAGTTCTCCCTCCTCTATGGCCCTTCCTTGAATAAGAGCATTCTGTTGACTCCTGTGGACTGACTTCCCTCCCCCGAGACCCCAATTCATAACAAAATGTAAGACTATCAAGTATAAAGGGCCTGGCTGGAAGGGACATCACAGAGAACAGGAATTAATGACTAACTAAGACATGTAGGAAACTAGCCCTCTCCAGTTACACGAACCACACCAAGTCTGTTTTTCTAAAGTCAGTTTCATTGGGTTGTTATCACTTGCAATGAAGACCCCTGATAGTAGGTAGGTGTGGTGGTGCATAACTTCAATCCTAGCACTAGGTAGGGAGGCTGACACAGGAGGAGGCTTGTGTGCTAGAGCCCCACATAGACACTAAAACACTGGGCGGGGGGATAGCTGATACAATTACCCTCAATCCCTCCCTGCCCACAGTCAGTAAAACAAGATGTTCATATTTAGAGCCTTGGAATAGCATAGAAAGATCAGGAATGGTACCCGGTGACACAGCATGTGACCTGAAACTGAAGCTGAATCAGTGTCTAAGTTTTAGGAGCCAAAGCAGAGATTCAGCTGCTCTCCTGCTTCCCCAAAGGAAACCACTTAAAGGGTCTAGTCCAATAAAGCTGAGGTTTTTTGTTTTGTTTTGTTTGTTGGTTTGTTTTTTGAGACATGGTTTCTCTGTGACTTTGGAGGCTGTCTTGGAACTAGCTCTTGTAGACCAGGCTGGTCTCAAACTCAACAGAGATCCACCTGCCCCTGCCTCCTGAGTGCTACGATTAGAGGCGTGCGCCACCACTGCCTGGCAAAGCGGAGCTTTTGTCCAACTTTGACCTCGGAAACTGGAAATATGGAACATTGCAAAATCAGGAAGGTAGATACAGGTCTGAACAGGCCAAAAGACTTGGATGTAGCCATCAACCCTTAGGGCAAAGGAAGTGAGTTCTAGAAGTGGCACCATAGGGCAGGTGTGAGCACAGAGGGGGAATTTGGCCATAACTGTTGAATCTGCACAGTTAACAGCCAAATTTGAAGGGAACCCTGTGCTTTATCTATGTAGGTCACACTGACACATCACAGGGAAGAAACTGGAAGTGCCAGTTGCCGCTAATGATGCATTCATGGGTAGAAATGGACAATTGTGTTTTGGAACACACTGATAGGCTAGTGACAATCTGGCAAGAGTATGAGGGTGATGAGAAAAGCTGCTCCCATACATTGTGGAACAGGATTCCAGTGGTTGGAACTGCCCTTCCCCATAAGCCTTTATAGTAATTAAGCTGTCTGAGCATATAGCTTATGATAAGA